CTGGCCGGCAGCTTATTGCTTCGCCATCCGTACACCACTTTCAGTATGTGCTCATAACAACTGCACTGTAGCAGCCCACTAAAAATGCGCAGTTTCTGATATTGGTGTTCCCAGTCGCCGAGCCATAACGCTTTGACCCTTATCAAAGTCTGATAAATCAGCTGCTTTTCCCATTATGTCGCTAATCACACTATGCTTGGAATGACAATGCATAACAGATTTATATACTCCAACATCAGCCGCGTACACGCAGTGGTTTTGTTCCTGGGCGAGCCCATTGTTACAGATGGAGGGTGGTCATAACGTAATGTCTCTTCAGTGTATATGTAAGTGCATACATATACACATACATACATTTCTGAATCTGGTCCTGATAACAGAAAAGTACCGATAAAGATAAAAAATTTATATCTCTCAAAAGATGAATCACTAAATAAAGCCTCCTAAATAAGCATCTATTCACTCCTTTCTCTTTTCCTTAGTAGCAAAAATTTCAAAACTATTATCATAGGACCAGTCTTTAACAGAGCTTTGTTTTACAGCTCAGCATAAAATCTTGAATGAGATCAGAATTCATTCAAGTTCTTTGGCTCGGTATAGTCAATGCTTAACACAGTATGGTCTTCTAAGATATGCTTATTATGTGTCCTGGTTTTTTTTTAAGAATTGGGTGTTTTGTCTGCTTTCCATGGCCCGTGATTAGAATACCAAGAAAGTTGTGAGAAGTAAAGATAAAAGTACGGTAACATAAGGGTGCTTCCGTCATGTAATGCTATTTAAACTCGTGTGTATTATTAACTCCATGATGAAGCTGAGTTACTTCCCAGAGAATTGGAAAACCGCAGTTATTGTACCTATTCCCTAGATGAGAAACCCGCTGGTTGATCCCATCTCAAATCTACTGATTAGCCTGCTTTTCACACTAAACAAAATCGCAGAAGTCGCTATATTGGAAAGAATTATTGCATTTCTGGACAAGCAGAAGATCATTATAGCACAGCAGTATGGTTTCCATCAGAAACATTCAATGGTTCACCAGCTCTACCGTCACATAATTAATTGCTGAAGGCCTACAAAACCATTAAACAATAGAAGGTCTTTTTCTCAATATATCAAAAGCTTTCTTTCATGTTTGGCTAGGCAGACTACTCTACAAACTAGTCACTCTGGGTTTCCCAAAACCAAATCTTATCTTTTTGATAGAAAGTTTGTCATTCATTATAAAAACACCTACTTATCAACACGGCAGGTGTGCTCCAAGGGTCCTTAATTTATGCGAATGCCATACCACCAATACCATGTACCTCATTTGCCATGTATGCAGATTACATTGCAATCCGTAATAGAAACACATGTCCAGATACAAATACTTCAAATACACATACTTGCACTGGAGTCCTGGCTTCAGAAATGGAAAATCCTCACCAGTAGTGACAAATCTGAAGCTTTATTCTTCATGATAAGAAAAAGGATTGAGCAAAACATCAAAATGTTTGACACTATTGCTCCATGAGCCAAGCATGTCAAATAGCTTCGTGTTATTCTTGACCAAAAACTGACATGGATGCCACACATCGAATGTTTAATTTCTAAAAGTACTGTTGCTAAAAGTACACTTAATTTTTCAAAACTTTGGAATATGACTATAATGAAATAAATAATACCAAAAGACCTTGTGCACTATTGAGAACATTTTGTTAGTCTGTACTGTTGCTTGAACTTAATTTAAGGTACTGAACTGCTACTTGCTCTTATCTTTCATATTATTTTACTCCTATGTATCTTAAATTTACCACTTAAACTATTATACTACTTTTTTAACTTTTTTTACTTCCTTGTCTGAAGTAAAGGAAGTATTGCAATCACGAAAAATTCCAGGTATCATATTCCAACAAAAATATACATTTTGACCATTATCGAATACAATTTAAGGATGTTTTTGCATGACATTTGTACATAAGAACAGATCTTGACCTTATGTACCTTATGTTTTTACATGACATCTGTACATAAGGACAGAATAAAGGACTCTTTTTTTTTCCCCAAATGAATTATAAAGTTTAACCTTTGAGGTTCGGTGCATTAAAAAAAAAAAAAAATTGGAAGGTGGGAATTAACTTTACACATAGATAATTAGCCCCTAATACAATGTTATTTCGTGGGGGGGGAAACAGGTAAATTTTAAGGTAATTTATAACGTGGTGGGATACAGCTTGTCCCACCATGCATTTACAGCAGTAAAATGGCATCTTTGTCTCAGCATAAATTCTCCTAACATGCTTATCTTAATTGCTAGTTTTAGCAACCAAAAGAAAATGAAAGATATAAAAACGTTTTTGAATAATTATCTAAAAAATATTGATCATATTCACAAAATAAAAAAAAAAAAAAAAAAAACATTTTCCAAAAAAAAATATATCATTTAAAAAAAATCGCTCTCTGTACGACTTTTTAGATATTTTTTAATGTTCATAATAGATTTGAAACAGGGAAGTTTTTCACTCCAGTACTTTATTTACTACAGGTTTCAAAAGGAAGGTATTTGGAAGGCCGTAATGTTTATTTACATTTCACCTCTCTTTCCTCTGCTTAGGATATTTTTCTATGATGAATCACACTCACATATCCATTCAGTATTCAATGACATTTCATGTTACAGAGTTATATTTTCATTTCTTTTGGAAAAAATACTAAATGTTTTTCAAATATTAACATTATTGCAATATATTAAAAAATATAAATTTGCATTATCAACATATAAAACGTACATGATACTTGAATTTTAAAATATCTGAATGATGCTGCCATCTATTAACAGCAATTCCTACATGCACTGTGGGGCGTATTTGGTCCCACCTTTTAATTTCAACCATTCTTAATTAATATATATGAACTCAAGTAATAATTTTTATTAGAAAAGGAAACTTTCACATAAAAATATTTATTCTAACACCAAAAGTTGTTCAGACGATTTAAATTGCATTAGAAATAAATCAAAAAACTGCTTCAAAATTAGACCTTCAAAGAATTTTTATTTTACATTATTTCCATGAATGAATACTAGTGCTGCCATCTGTTATACAGTTAGAGAATTAAAAGGCGTAATTGTATGTATTTTAAATGGAATTTTGCAGCCATCATCTGGGAGATAAAAACTGATACTATAAAAAGGTGGGGCATCCCACTGCCCATCAAAGGGTTAAAATATCATGCTTAGATGATTATAGTCAGAAATAACCCCTCCCCTCCCATTTTAGTTCACCCAGTACATATTCAGTGTATTTCTATGAAAACTATCCCACCTTTACCGTACAAATATACATGTTGCATTTGTACCTTTTGCTGCAGTCCCATAGCTCCTTTAAGTCAGCTGACCAGTGGCTCCTCTACATAACGATGAACAACACTTTACTTATTATCCTGGTCAACTCAAGAATTGACTCCAGAAATGCTTATTGTTACATTCTTCACATCTTAAAAATGCTGTGCTTATTAAGTTATGCTTCCAAACTCTGCTACATGATATGCACAGGATTGGGCATATGACTGGAAGTCTGGCTATGTGACTTTGTCACTTAAACTGGGTGTTTTCCATTCTTCTAAACATGGATTATGTTAAAAATGAGAAATCATTCTATTAAAACCTAAACAGCTCTGGAAAAAATTTAAAAAAATGGTTTAGTCAAAGATACCCATAATATACAGTTTCCATACCTTTGAGAGTTTTGTATAGCTGTATAAAATAATTTAAGTATATAGGAAATTGGATGCGGCCAAAACGGGGACGGGGGGGATATATCTGGAGGCTTGCTATAGTGAAGTTTGACTGTCTATCGATACATTTTGTACAACAAATTTTTAGGTGCATAAACTTAAGTTTCTAGAATAGTAGTCAGATTGATTTTGTTTTACTAATGATTAAAAAAGGTATAAATATTCTGAAAATAATTCAATGGAAAAGTAGTAATAGTTTTGGTCTTCATTAGCTTTTTGAATTTTTTAGCATATTCTATTTTGTTTTGGGTAGAATAAAAAAAAATGAAAAAGAAGCAAGATAAGCATATGTTTTTTATAATTTAGGTTACAATAACACACCTAACAAATATTAATTTATTAAATCAAACAACAAAATTAGTGTTATATTATAACCCAACATAGCAGTTAACTAGCAACATGGCAGTTAATCAAGCAGCCCCATAACCAAGCACCTTTTAACTTCTTGGTAACAACCAAGCAGTTAAAAAATTCTCATTTCACCACAAAGCACACTCTTGTTAGGAGATTATAAGAATTCTGTTGTTATTAATTTCTTTCGATCAATTAGCTATAAAATTGCACGTATTTTACAGAAATTTAACTTTTGAGTCGTTTATTCTCCTATTAATAAAATTCCAAGTTCCATATTTAAGAACCTCCATTCTGGATATGAATTCCTGGGGTATTTGCAGGATTCCTTGCCAATGAGATTTAATTTACATTGGCCAAACTTAAGAGAGCCTCAAAATTTTGTGTTAAAGGACATGAGGCATATGTTAGGAAAAAGGAAACACAGAAGTCCTCTGTTGCCCAGCATTGTTGTTCCGAAAATCACACTTTCCATTTTTCTGCAGCAAAAATTATTCAAAAAACATCTTCCATTGGTGAATTAGATTTTCTAGTGGTGTTTCACATTCAAAAAGATCTTTCTGTTCTAGTTACCGATCCTAATTCCAATTCATCTTTACCTTCAGCCTTTAAGGAAATTATGTTTTAGTTTTCTTGTTTCGTCAATAGATGGCGCCAGTAGTTTTAACTACTATACAGCCATTCTAATCTTATCACCATATCTTATCTCGTTCATATGCACTTTGGCAGTTGAGGTAGATGGTTTGGTAAAACCATCAAAACTAATCCTGTGAAAATATAATGCTGATTTTCGTTGTTTGACTTAATAAATTAATGTATGTTTTTAAATGTATTATTTTAGCAAATCTTTTATGTGTTTGTATTATCTTTTGCAGATTGAATAAAATAAAGTTGAGGCTGAATATGGCTAAAAAGAACTGGAAAAAGACAACTTCGAATTCTGCCAATGCTAATCCTTTTAATGTAAAAGTTAATCGCAAAAAACATAGTGTGCTTGGTGAGAAGATCAAAGGTACAAAAGGATTACCTGGTATTTCTCATGCTGTTGGAAATGCAAAAAGGAAAGAACTTTGGTATAAAACAAAAGCAAAAGCTTATAAAGCAAATCGCTTTCTTGATAAACGATTATTAGACAGCTCTGTGCCTTTAGATGAACGTGCTACTCATCGACTTGTACGAGAGAGGCAGAAAAAACTGAAAAAGAGCATATTCAATTTAAACGAAGATGAAGACTTGACTCATGAGGGAGTACCTATTGAAAATTTTAAAAAATTTGATGATTACATACTTGGCTCGGAAGACGAGGAGCAGCTGGATGCTGCATTTGTAAACCGGGCACATTTTGGAGGATTCTCATCAGATGCAAAAAATGAACCTCCTAAAAGCCACAAAGAAATTATTGATCAATTAATTGTAGAAAGTAAGCAAAAGAAACAAGAAAGGAAAATTGAAAATGAAGCTACTGCAGACCTAACAGAAAAGTTAGACAAAGATTGGAAAGAAATGTGCTTGCTAATGCCAGGCATAAAGGGGAAAAAACAAGCTGCTGCTCCAGAAAAAGATGATCTATATGATAGAATAACACGAGAATTGAAATTTGAAATGAAAGCAACACCTGCTACTCGTTTGAAAACTTCAGAAGAAATTGCAAAGGAAGAACAAGAAAAATTACAGCGACTTGAAAAAGAGAGGCTTGCTCGAATGCTTGATGATTCAGAACTTGAAAACGATAAAAGTCAACAACATCTTTCAGCTGATAGTATTTATGATGGTTTTGACTTACAACCCATTACTGTAGCTGAAATTGATCATGCAAGCTCATCACACGAAGATAAAAAAGAAGATTCTGAAAATGATTTTTCTGAGAACAGTTCTTCTGAAAGTGACGATGAACAAGAAGATTCTAATTTTGCTAATTTTGAAGATTCAAATACAATTTTGGATGAAGTTGATCATAATAATTGTGAAGGAATTCCTAGCTCTTTAGAGGAATTTCAAATGTTTGCAAGTTGTTGTTCTAAAAATGAAATATCAAATATTGTTGAAAGCATTTTAAAAGTTAACCTTCCTTCGAAATCTGAGAAAAAACTAATTAAATTAGAATATTTCTTTGGCATTATTATAGAATATATATTACAAAACTGTGATGATTCAATAAATATTTGTGGTTTCCTTTTCCCTCATTTATACACTTTAGCTGAAGCTTCACCTTCCAAGACTGCTGAAAAACTTCTTAATTTTTTAGATCATGAGCAGCAGTTATTTCAAGAAAATAAAGGACAAACCAAGAAGAATTTTCCCCGATTGCAGACTTTAATAATTTTCAAAATTTGTAGTGTTTTGTACTCTGTTTCTGATTTCAGGCATCCAGTTATCACACCTGCTGTGATATTCATGAGTGATATTTTATCTAGCAAATTTTGCATCAATGCTCGTAATATTGTTATCCGCCTTTTTATTTCTAGAATAATTTTGAACTGTATAGCACAGTCCAAAAGACTTGTTCCAGAAGCTTTAGGTTTCCTGAATAAATTGCTGACTTTGGCAGTACATGGCAAATCTGAAAATAAAACTGTTGCAGTTAAAAGCCTGAAATGTAATCTTGTTTTGTATGAAAAATTGGATCTAAAAAAAATTGAACCTTTAAATTTATTGCATCCATTCAAAAAGACTTGTAATAATTCTGAAAAAATTAGCATTCTTTTTGAAGTTGTTCAGCAGTTACAACAATTTGCAACTTTGTATGTACATTTACCATCCTATTCTGAACTGTTTTCTAAAACAATACAAAACTGCTCAAAGCTTCCAAGAGATAATTATCCAGATAATCTCAGAGAAGCTTTTGCTACGTTATGTCACAATATTAATATCAATTCTCATAAATTATTACATCTTACCTTTGTTAATTGCAAGCCCAAACCTTTGAAGCTATTTGAGCCAGCTTTTGATTCAAAATTTAGTACTATAAAAGATGATATTTCCAAGAAAAGAAAACTCATAAAACGTGTATCTCAAAAAATAAGGAAAGAAGAGAAAGGTCTGTTGCGAGAAATGCGTAAAGACTCTAAAATGATTGCTTCAGAGAAATTAAATGAGCAACTTGAAGCAGATGAAGAAAGAAAGAGAAAAGTAAAACAACTATATGCAGAACTTGCTGTTCAAGAAGGAGAATGCAAAAAATTTAAAAAGAAATCGTAGTGATTTTCTTCAGAAGTATCTGAATATAACTGTTTTATTTCAAAAGTGCAACCATTATTTTCTTCAATAAGTAATCTACAGTTCTTTATTTTCAAAATGTTGCTACATCTAATTTTTCTCACTTAGCTGATGGCTAATCTCAGAGTAAGAACTGACAAGTTTGATAAATTATTTTTCTAGTTAAACATTTAATTCTGTTGTATAAAGTATTATTTTGTAAAAGTGAAATAAATGTGTATCTTTGACATTGATAACTATACTTATATATTGAAATGTGTTTTTGTCATTATGTAATTTGTTTGATTCAATAGAAGCAAATCAAATTTCATAATCTGAAAAAAAATTTTATGGTTGAAAATTATAACTAACTTTTGGCTAAATATTGATATCTAACTGCAGTATTATTTTATGCATGATTATGGCCTTCTTACTTATAAATATTAGTATTTATAGTACTGAAGATTATAATTTACTTACCATATATTTGCAAATGTAAGCTGAGAGTACTGTTTTTCCTAAAAAATTTATCCAAAATTTAAAACCCATATATATAAAGCTGAAATGAAAAAACAAATTCCTACAACATTCAAATATGTTGCCATGAGCACAAAAACATTGCCAAGTAGGTAAAATGGGTGGGATGCTTTTTAATCAAATCGTAAAGTGAAAAAAGCCAGATGCCAATGACATAGTTTTAAATCTGGCAACCCTGTCTGAAGCTACCATATTTTTTCCACTGTTTTGAAGTCCTTGACTGTGATATTTGTGCAAGTTTTATTTTGTCTGAAAGATGAGTAGGAAGACAAATTTTTATTGGTAAATTTCAAACTATAGGTGATGGTGTTTGCTGAAAATTCTAACAGTATGGAGTGTATCTCCATAAAAGAAAAACAAGTTTGAGAATTAAGTAAAAAACCTTTACAATATAAACAGTTTCAAAAATAAAACATCTCATTTCATTTTAAAATTATTTTTTTCATAAACTTAAGAAATAAAATAGTGCTATATTTGGTGATTTATCATTTGCAGTTAACTGAAAAATATATTTACTGGAAGATTAATGGATCCGTGTATAAGCTTACCCTCGTAATTTAGCTTTAGGGAAAAGTTCCAACAATTCTTAGTGTATACATGAAAATATATGGTGTCTATATTTTTTAAAGTATTGCCATATTTGCCGATGTATAAAACACATTTTTTTCTTAGATAATAGGTCTGAAAAATGGGTTGCATCTTATACATTGATAATTATTGCGCCGATACGTGGTTTGTAAATGAGTCAAAGCTTCATGAGATGCTGTAAAAACAGAGACAGTGCTTAAATCATTTAAGAAATGTGGCATTACTAGTAATGCACTGGATAGTACAGAGGACAATTTGTTGCAAGGACAAGACTATGCTGATTAAGAGGTTTCAAGTGACTCTTCATTGAGCTCTGGAGATGAATGCCTGGGTTTTGTCAAAGGTGATTAAAAGTTGTTCTTTCCTAGATAGATTGGGTATTTACAGAAAGTGCACTTTGTATTTGTATTATTTTGTAGTTAAAAATTCATTATAAATGATCAGTAATAAAAGTTTTATCCTTCAAAAATATGTATAAAAAAGGGGCGAGTCTTATACGGCAGTAAATACAGTATATGTGATACAAAATATGAGATTTTCTATCATTGGAATTTGCAGATTTAAAATCACTAATTCAAATCAAGTAAGTTAACATGTAGAAGCAGAAATAATAAAATTAAAATTATGAAATAGTTTTTCTTTTTTGTTTGTGTGTGAGCATTTTTATGAAGCTCCTTTATGAGCGAAATTTTGTTAACATTTATTTTGTTTTATTAAACATTTCCTTTTAACTGTAAGTTGTTTAAGTTGTGTGTGTGTGTGTGTTAGTTTTGAAGTTTGCAATTTCCATCTCAAAAATTCCCACAAAATAATCATTTCATCTTCAACAAAGACTTTGCCATTGTTGATAAAATTTCTGGATTTAAAGCCATACTACAGATTTTGCCATCTCTTAACTGATTGATGACTGGGTGGGCATTGTCATTGAATGAAGATTTCATCTAGCATTTATTTGCATTTTTTCGCCTATTCCAGTAATTGGAAAATTTTTTTCCATTCAACCCTTTTGTTACTTTTCTTGTTTTGGCATATTTCCTGAGTGTCAGGATCCCAGTGGATGTTTTCTGTATCTAGTACATGTTGCATTAGAATAATAAAAGAACATTAGATAAACATTAACTCTTTGAGGGGCTTTTTCAGCAAAACTCTTGTTTTATTTACTCTATCAGGTGTTACAATGAAATTATTTGCGACAATTACACATATTTTGTCCAAGATGTGTGAAAAAAAAATGACCACTTTTGGTGGTTAGTGTCAGTGACCACCGCCTACAGAACACATACCTACAAATCAGTCCTAAACTATTTCCAAATCAGTCCAAAGAAAAACTATTTCCATGAGCTCCATAGATGCTGTAACCATAAATAGTTTTTCTTTTTCAAGCAGAGTGCAACTTTGCATGTGCTGCATTCCCACAGATTTCTTACAGGCTTTCTTGGTGCTGCACAGTGCACATCGTCGTGATGTTGTCTTCCATGGCTGATACTTATTTTCTTGAAGACGAATTCCTGTATCAACTACTGGCTTGAGTTTCTTGATCGTCACCTTGTGAGGTACAAGGGAACTTCAGAAATGGTCAGTCTTGAAAACTACTCACACGAGTGAGTTACGACGTTCAGTAGCACTGCCCTTCAAAGAGTTAAAAGTGCAGATGGTATGCAGATACATACATATGAATATTTTATTGAAAAAGAAAATTGTGTAAGAATTTGAAAATTTAAAACTGGAAGTACATTTTTATGTTTAAATAAGATTGAATTAGTTAATTTTGACAAAATACATTATTTATTTTTAAATTTAGATGTTTGGCTTTCCCATCTTGTTGGTCTTTTTTATGTTTTGTCTTTTCTGTCAGCTTGGCTTAATACTTCATTATTTGCACACAGAAAAGTTAGTTCTGGCATCTCAAAGCACTTTTTTTTTTTCCCTCTACATATATATAAAACAGAGAACTGAAGTTATTTCATCAGTTAGATATGCCGCATTTCTGCTTCATGTGTGAAAGTCTAAAAACATTGTGCTGCAGTTCTCCAGTGTGAATCAAGCCCTACTGCGAATCATCTGGCATTATTAGCCAATGACCACAAAGCAGGATCAAGGCTGTTTATTTCTTTCACCTCACCAGCAGGCAGCACAAGTTTCAAGTGCTTCCCAGAAACAGTTTAACAAACTGTGATCTTTTGTCTTAATGTCTGTGAAAAATGTAATATACTTTTCAAAAATTGTACACAGATGACTTTCCTTGTATTATTTCGTCAAGGAAATGTAATACTGCAATGTGTACCGTTTGTCATCGTGACTTTTCGATTTCGCACGAGGACAATGCGAGTTGCATTGGGGAAAAAGTAAATTTTTTTTGGTAGAAACAAAGGACCAAAAAGTTATTAATACAGAATGCCTGTTCTGTTGCCTTTTTACTGGAGCACAACACTGCAGAGTTTTTTAGAAAAATGTATCCTGTCAGTAAAATTACTAGTAAATACTCAAACAAAACGGTGCAAGAACAAAAATGGCTGAAGTTGTAGAAGAAATGGGTTCAAGAAACTGGTACTGAAAAATACCAATTATAAGAATAATTATCAATACCTCAGTTATTGATTGCATTAAAACAGTTCCATCCTGCCTGTCTACAGATGAAAGTAATAATGCCGATGCAAAATTGTATCCAATTGTTTCTTTTTTCTTTTAATCCAGAGTCTTCAGAAATTGAGCTTAAGTTCACTTTCTGTTCTCATTTTAGATGATGATTTGATAGACATTTTATTATTGCACAGCTAATTATTAAAACTTTAAAAGAAAGTACAATTCTTCAGGATAATTGCTTAACACTTAGTGCTGACAATACAGGAGAAATGGTAGGCTTAAAGGCTGATGTTATAGGCATCTTAAAAAAAGATAATTCATATTTGCAAATTATGAAATGCACCGGTCACCTCTTAAATTTAGCAGTTGAAAAAGAAATTCTTTTCCAGTAAGTGTGGATGAACACATTGTTGATATTTATTACTATCTTATCTTGGAAAGCTTTCTAAAAGGAAGGAAAAACTTGAACAATTCCAACAGCTGCATAATACTGAAATGACTTGTGTTGAATGGAAAGAGAGCATGCTTTTACTCTGCATCAGATAAAAGAATGTCTGGAACAACAAAAGGAAAATATGAATAATCAAGATGGTAGAATGGGATATTTCACTTAGCCGCCATCAGTCAGCAAAGAAAGATGAAATGAATGAAAATAGACCAGAAATGTGAAAAAAAGTTGGATCAGTAAGGTAGTAGGTACTTCAAATAATTAACAAAATGTTAGGTTAGAATATCCAAAGGATATTTGTGTTTTGCTCTAGGAAAAGGTGAGCATCGCAAAGAGCTGATACAGATGTTTGGATGTAATAGGAAAAAAGGAAAAAAATTTTTGCAAGTTTTTTTATATAATTTTGTATAGTATCAATTTGAAGATCTCTGTGAATATATGAATTTGGGATGAACCAGGGTGCATTAATAATTTCACGAAGAGTTTTTAGAAAAATCTGAAATATGTATCTACATGCTAGAATTCTCAACCAATAGAACTCACATCTAAAATTTATTAAGGAAAAACTAAATGCTTCTGAAATTCTTATAATTTGTTGGAAGTTATAAAATAACTTAAGTAAATGGAGATATAGTTACTGTTTTCACTGTTAAAAAATAGATGTAAGAAAAATTAAGTAATTTCTGCACTGAAATTAACTATTTCCTTTTGGCTTATATCATTTTGCTTCAACTATAATTATGATTTTGGTTCACTGATCTTTTGATTATAATAAAAAACCAGACCTCATTTTTATTTTGAACTGTTTGATTAAGTTTTTTGTCGCTGATGAAAAACATTTAGAAAAAAGAATTTTTTTTCTCACTATCTTCAGATAATCGCTGATGAAAAACATTTAGAAAAAAGATTTTTTTTTTCTCACTATCTTCACATAAATTGCTGTTGTTTCATTTTTAGTTTCAAGTGCTTTATGGTTTGGTTATTAAGTTGACTGTTTCTCTCAACAATTGCATTTAAATCTTTGCTTTATCATTAATCCTTGTTTGAAACTGTATTGGAAACTATACTTCTTTATCACACTCTAGGCCCATCAGTAGCCGAGGTTCGAATCCGGCAAACGGACTGGCTGCATTGGTGCTTTTGTGTTTTCCCCCATGTGTAGTATAACATATGAGCCAGTTTTCCTTAGAAAATCCTCCACAAAGGGCATCCCTCCCTTCTGTGTACTGCCCTAGGGCATGTAATAGTGATGATGATAATAATAATTTTTATCACATGAGCAGTTTAATTGGGACTTCTCAAAATGTCAGCATAAAGCTCACCCAAAATGAAAAAATCGATTGACAAGGACACATTTGCCATTTATTGTAAGTATATCTTGTAAAGAATGAGTATTTATGTTTTTCTCTTTGGACCTTAACAAAGCTTTTTGCTTTTTTGTAATCTCCATATTGATACCATTCAACACACAGTTTTACAGTGCAGAACTACATTAATTCATATTTTGCAACTGATGGTTAGTGATCTGGTCAAGGTATTATTTAATGATTAGGGAAGCTGATTAGATTACTTTTTTATTATTAAAAGGTACAAGTAATAAACTTTTTTTTTACATGCAGGTATTTTTGCATTTAAGAAATAACTGAACTTTTCAGATATTAATTAGTTACTATTTGAAGTTAATTCATAACTGAAAATATATTTTATCTCTACATGTTTTTATTATTTAAAAAATCTTCTTGTTGAGAAAATTCTCCTGATTTTTGAGTGTCGTAGGTTAGCAAGTATGTAGTTTTAAACATAGTGTAAAAAGTTTGAAACTCAAAACATTATTTTTGAAAAATTACCTTGTTCAAGAGTTATTATCTAAGATATAGAAAAGTAATTTTAAGAATGCTTGTACTTGCATTGGATAGAAGTTGATGATAAATAACTGTGGAACATTTGTGAACTTGCAGAACTTTTACTTCATTAATTAAATTCATGAAATATGTTCTTTTTATATTTACAAAGAAGTTGAAAATATCAGATATATCCTAGAAAAAAGTATTTATTTTCAAGCAGAATATTTTCAGGTTCTCAGTATTTACATGTGTACATGGAAAGTGAAAAATATATTTAGTATGACATAGTTATTAAAATTAAGAAACCTTTCTTTGATACAAAAAATTCCAAATATACTTTCGAGTAATTTCGTTTACAAACTCTCCATTACATATAAAAATTGTTCCTCCTTTTAAGATAAAAAAAACATACATAAATGTGTCTATATTCATTCATAAATAAATATTTTCAGCATGTTCAAGTTAGGTAAAGCTGGTACAATACTTTTCTTTGAAAACGATGAAAAATAATGGTAAATAACTTATACAGAACTTTATAATGTTAATTTGAGACACTCAGAAATACACACATAACTTGTTAGTTACTATTTGTAATACTGCTAAAATGAGTCTTTATTTTAAAATGATATATTAAAATACATCATTTAAAAATAAAGGCTCATTTACAAATATATATATTATATATATATATATATATTCCTTAATAATCATCATGAATATTCCATTAAAATTTAATAACGTTTTACTTTTCATAAAACTTTTTTTTTTTGAGGGGGGTCAACTAATTTGGTGTAAGATATTCAATGCAAAGGACTGCACAAATTGTAATACAACATTCTTAAAATAATGTGTACTAAATTTTAATGCACTGAATGTTATGAAACAGTAATAAAAAGAAATGTAACTACATTAAATTTTGATTGTGTAAGACATACTTAGAAAATATACTCGTATAACAGAAATTCACAAAACATTCTTTGGTGAAGATTGAAGACAAAGAGAACATTGCCTGTGTAACATCAATCAAACATCAGGTCCTGTCTCTGCAGACAGTTATAATAACATGCATCTCTGATGGAAATGAAATATTGTGAGCAATGAGTTTTATCAAAAAATAGAAGTCAACTATGCACAACATATTGGCATGTCCATTAATAATATACTTACCATATAGCTGCATACAAACAAACTATTTTCTGCATACATTAAATAGTACAAGTGTGTTTATGTAATCTATCCATATGTATATCAGATTATAATTTTCAAAATAAACAGCCACAATTCATTTTTTAAATAGTGAACACCATTTCTGAACTACACAATTTGTAAATGAAACTTTCAACTAAGTACAAACTTCCAACAAATACCTTGACATACATCACTGAAACGAATTATTATTAAGTAGACTTTTATGGCATTTAATTGAAAATATCTTGATTATAATTACTGAATCTCACCACCTATACATATTAATGAAAACAATACTTTTTTTTAACAAAGACTTAATGAGTACAGCCCTAGAATAAATAAATATTCAATATTTCAAATAAATAGCACTTCTCTTAGCAAAGACTTAAATTAGATATGATCTAAAAACATCGGTAATTTATTCATAAAATAAATTAGTTTATGTATAAGGAGGCACAAACAGTTTAAAATCTAGAAATTTTACACTGAAAATTATAAAATGTGACTATTCCAGTTTTCTCTACATAAGAATTCTGACACCTGCACTCTTAATTCTTCTTCCACAGAGGAATTGTATTCAAAAAATAATCAGCAATACAAGTAATTAATCATTAGTCTTAAAAACAAAACAAAAATACTAATCATCACTTTAGAATTATGAACATAAAATAATAAGATTATACTATAGAAAATTTTCTAAAGTTTAAAAATATATGAAAATAAATTTTCAATTATAAAGTTAATACTTTAATAGCCACATTTAAATTACACCTTGATCAAGGGTTTATTTTCAATAGCCTAGATATCCTAAAATTTTATATATTAACACTGATTTATGCATTATATTCCTGCAGCTGCTTTACAAGAACATTTTAAAATGCTTTCTTCTGATATAAACAATATTAAAAGCTCCTGTTTTAGAACATTTCAGACTGACCAATAGATTTAGAAAAGTGTGAAATATAAAAAGGGGGCAATTAATACTAATTATATTAATAACTACTTATATTACTTTCACAACATTACTGCTTAAAACTGTTTGGAAAAATCTGCTGTTTCAGATCATCTCAATTTTAACAAAAGGCAATGGAATAGCTTTAGAATTTCTTTTAGATTCTAAGCCAATTCTAAACTTTTTTTAACTCTATTGTAGTTAGTAGTAGTATTTACAGTTAAACACAAATGTTTGAATTCTTTAATTTCATCAACTGAATTTTTAATTATAGTCAAAGTAATGCCATGAAATGTTCAATGCACTTCCATAAATTCAACAGTATACCGAAAGAAGAGTTTTCAAATGATAAATTTCATATTACTCACAAATTTTAACTTTTACACTTTAAAAAAAATATCTAATTTCCTTGTCTTGTTTCTTCTTACTGCAATGTTGAGTTGCACTACTGGTAATTATAAATGTGCAATTCAAAACAATTAGAGTCTACACAATTATTATCAACTGACATACTCTATGCAATAACATATTTCATTCAAATTATACAATATCTGAAATTGGTGCATATATTAGAATTGCATATAGTATACAAGGGATAAAATGTGATATGCTACATATACGACTTTCACTCATATATATAATTAAGCTTACTTGAACTAATTTATAACACATATCATTTTTTAAATTAATGATTACAGTTAAATATAATCATAAATTTTTAGGTGAAAAATATAAACACTGATTATGTTAAGAAATAATTCACATTTTACAAAATTGATTAAATCTTTCAAAACTCAATTATATATTTAAAACATTCAAATATATACAGTCAAAAGTCGTTAATTCGGACACCCATAATCCGGACCAACTAAAACTCTGCGCATGCGCCGCGTTGGCCATGCGCAACAGGCGTTTATGCGCCGCATAAGACCTTCACCACTGCGCATATGCGTCGCAAGTGCAAATTTTTCGCCTGAGCGTTTAATGTATAAACGAGGGTTTAAGCTAAAATTATCTAATTATCTATTTCAGTTAATGTTAATGATTGCGTTGTTACTTAATCTTTCGAATTGGATCCCGCTTATTATTTTTTGCAGACTGTAAGAGCAATTTTTAAAAGTAAACTTGAACTTTCGATTATGTCAAATAGAATTTCCGATGCTGGAACTTCCAAAGGATCTACAAACCAAAGTATGTTTTCGATGTCCAACAAAAAAAAAGTGGAATTGCTGCAAAAAATGGATAAAAACATGAAGAATGTGACAGAGAGGTTAGTGAAAACGAAAAAAAAATTTCGATTGACAAGTTAGTCGGTATTCTCGGCACAGCAATTAATGGACTTGAACAGCGGAACTTTTGTAACTGAACAAGAAATTATGTCTTTTTATAGAATTAAAGAGAAAGTATTATCACATAAAAATGAAGCAACTTAAACAACTTACATTGAGAGAAATGTTTAATAAAGTAAACAAATAAATATTAAGCTTTTTTTTTGTAAATTTTTTTGATACCCTTTAGATCATAATTGTTCTTTATTTCATAAATTACGGTTTCATATTTTTTAATTTTAGATTTCTGCATGCCATCTTACGAGATTTAAACTGATGATCTATAATCCGGAAAAATCGATAATCCGGAATCGCCGAAGTCCCGACGAGTCCAGATTAACGACTTTTGACTGTATATGCCATAAGAAAAAATGCAAGAGTTGATAAAATAAAAGTCCACCTGATTCTTTTCTGCTAGGACAATATGAAAGGCTATTTTTTACAGAAAGATTAATGCGCTAACGTTGCCCCCTTTATATTAACTGTGTTATTCTGAACTCATAATCACTGTATTCTTGTTTACAAAGTATATCATTTTGAAATATCTAACCTAAGAGATACAATTCTTATGTTTAGGAAAATTTTAACACAATCGAAATAAGCTGATGATAAAAGTATGTTTTTTGGGTGAAAGTAAAAATCTGGCACATGTGTCTTTCTAAAGAAAAAAGTTTGATGTTTGGTTGTTCTATAAAGGAAAAATTACATGAAACTTCATATGTAAGTTGCAGTATGTTACGAAGCTTTATTTCTGATATTTTCAGTCTTCCAATTTGTAATGTGTGGTTTATTTTATTTATTTATTTAATATTCCGTTTTGTTGCATAATTTGCTTGTTATAATTTATATGAATATAAAAATGATTAGAATTTCTTCGAAAACAATTTTATTTTTATCAGAGAATAAACTTAAATAATTCTGATGTTACTGGTTTTATAACCAGAAATGGAGCATTAAACCTTATCAAGGTTTAATACTTAAATGTCCTATCTATACGCAAGTGCTCTTTTAAAGAAATATTAGAAACATTTTTTGAAACTCAACATTTAAAAGGAATACTAATATTCTATAAATAATATAGCTGTTATTAAGTATACTTTAATACTAAATAGATGCATATGTTAAAATATCTTGCACATTTGCTCCCAAATTTCTGAAACAAACTACTTACTTAAAAATATGACTTCTAATTCAATACACCGGGAACACAAAAAAGGATGTGCAATATTTGACATTTCAAGTAATCTATTTTAATATAATTGCTTAACATTGTTTCTTCAAGCAACCCTTTTACCTTGAATTGCACACAGTTAAATCATTAGTTTAAAAAAAATTCCAAATGTTGTTTGTTGGTAACATATATATATATATATATATATATATATATATATATTAAAAAAAAAAAAAAAAAAAAACTCTGCAAACTAAGTCACTTACTTTTGTCAATTGTTTAAAACATAAAACTATTTCTTGCAGTTTAAGATGTTTTAAAATCATAAGGTCTTGTTATACATTCAAAATAAACAGATTAAAGCAAAACACTTCAAAGTTAGAAACAACTTTAAAAAGGTGGGAAATGATAACTAAATTTTCTTTACACTTTCCAAAGAGTGGAGCTTCATTTAATATGGTACGTCAGTGAGAATAGGACCAAGTGGCTCACAATTGTGTATCCTGCGGATTGCTTCGCTATAAAATCGTGAGACATCTAAGCACTGAAATCGAGAAGGAATAAAGAAAACTTTATCAATATAAATTTACTTATTACCCAATGCAAAGTTACTCAGTTTCAAATTTATATCACTTTATTCATGAAATCTATGAATATCCAGCATTTTAGTAATTTTAATTCTAAATAAAAAAAAAAAAAGAAGAAGAAGAAGAAGACTGACATAATAATAAGAAGCTCTGCCCATTTAAAATGTTCTTCTCTCCCTTTAAAAAATTACTTGTAATTTAATAGGCTTTAAAATTATAAGGTATAAAATAATTCTAATGTCATAAAACTTAATGATGGGCTTAAAGGAAAAATTTCGATTTAGTTCTATTATTTTTTTTCCCTTTCTTTTTTGCATTTAGTTTTTAAAGAATTCTGTGCCAGCTACTGAATTTGAAATTGTAAACTGAAGAAAATTGCCAATTATGTAGGTTTATGAAACAGGAAAATATTACAGTTATAAGTACCAGCCATGCAATTTCTCCTCACATGCAAAGAATACATGCATTTGCTATAAGTTGCAAAAAAGTTTTTTTTTTTCCAAAATATTTTATTAAAATTTGTACATTATAAAAGTAAAGTCATACATATGGCACATATAACTGCAACATGCTAAAGGAATGGAAACCTTGTTAGTGGGAATGAAATGCCATGTCTACATAGGGACGTTACTGAAGAGGTAAGAGACAGATTCTCCATTGTGGGTACGACGGATCGCTTCGGCCAGGATCATCGAGACATCAATACACTGCAAAGACACAAGACATGGATAGCACTAAAACATTATGCACCTACCAAGTTTATGGTGTAGGAAAAAAATGTTGTTTAAAAAAATATCTGCATCAGCATGCATTCAAATTAGCAAAATAAATTACAAAATATATTCAAAAACTTGCTATTTCACAACAAATTAAAAGTTTTAAATTATGTAATTAGGGAAAATAGAAAAAAAAAAAAAAAGCATTAAAGCAAATTTAGTTTTGTCAAAAGATGCTAAAAAAATTAAGCATTTTCATTACAAAAAAATAAATAATGTTTTAATTATTCATTTTTAATCCATGAAAAATCAAATGTAGAAAAAGTAGAGAATAAGAAATTAATCAAAAAGAAAAACTACGCCTACAATAAACTTATTCCAATATTTAATCTCTTTGATTTAACATAAATATTAAAAATTAAATTGCTTATAGCACTTTGGAACACTGGAAGAAAATCAACAGCATAGTTTTTCTTTATAAATTCATTCTTCAAGCAATGAAAATTTACATTTTTACATCACATAAAATATAAAAAGTTTGAACTTGTAATATTTTTTCCCAATTAAAAAAAAAAACTCTTATTTCCAAAAGATTAGTTTTTTTTAAAAACCATTTTTCTTATGCTTATACTTTTTATACTGTAAATGCTTTAGGAAAAAGATAAACAGAGTGTAAATTAGTGAACAGGAGAGTTCCAAATTAGCTGGTCATCTATTTCTCTTTAGAAGTACTCTATTAATTACTCTAAAAATGTGCATGACATGTCTATTAGGTTTTTGTGAGAGTTAAATAAACATACCATACATATTTATTTCACTTTCTACAATAACTAATGTGACACCATGTATCATTAGGCAAGTAAACTACTTATAAACATTAATAGATGGGCAGTTTTGAAGTATAACATAGGGCCACTGTTCTTTGTGAATTTTATAAATTACAAGTGCTTAAAAATATATTAAACTAGCATTGTAATGTTATATTATTCTTCTCCTTATTGCTCAATAGGTAGAAAAAAGAATAATTTCTTTATAAATTGTCACTAGAGATAAGAAATGGGCTCTGTATGCTAATACCAAGTGCAAACCAGGAGTCCACCTCCAAAAATATTTGTTGTGTGTTAGCAAAATGCAGGCTAAATTTACTTTGAGATATTACAACCTGGTTAATTAAGATTGAAAGCCTCTACTAGCAACAATTTGTAAAACCGATCAAAAGAATAACTTTTATCCTCCTCCATGACAGTGTGAAAACGCATACAAATAACTTCAGATTACAAAATTAAGCTGAGAAGTTTTGTTCCACAAATTCAGCAGATACTGCTCTGATACTTTGACAGATTATCATAGGCTTTAATGAGCATTTTCTGTGAAGGGCATGCTGAACTACTTGCCAAATCAAAACAGGTCTGACAGACACTTTTAATCCAAAACCCTTTCATTCATGAAGATTACTCAACCATTTGGTTCCAAATGGTAAACCATTACTGATAATGATGGTGATTATATAACTACTTTAAGACATTTAATAATACCATTTTTCATCAGTAATACAAATGAAAATAATACGATTTAGATTTTCAATAATATAAGATATACATAATCATCTTTCTTGTTTCTTAGCAAAGCTGTGAACAAATCCATTTACATAAATTTCTAACTTAAAAGCAGGTAGTTTTACTTTGTATTTTTCAAAAAATTAATACTAGTATATTAATCAATATTAATTTTTTTGAAATTATTAATTAAATTGATTAATTGATATTTATTTACTTTTAAAGGCAAAACTGATAACACGAGAACTAATGATAACAAAAGGGGAAAACACATAATTACAAAAATTTAGATACTTAATATACAAAATTTATATTTCTGAAACTTCTCTATATTGAAATAATTTTTTTTTTAATTTTGAAATTTATAGAACAATAAATTTTTTTTGATGAAAAATGAATGAATCAAATTTTAAAAAGACTTGAACATTTTATTATTTACATTATTTTCTTTAGTACATCTTTGTTAAAAATGCCCAAAGCATAAATGTTCGACAACAACTGAAATTTGCTAAATACACATCGGCCAATTAAGCTTCTCAATCTACATGACAAAGTACAGTGGCTATTTTATTACAGAAAACCATATAAGCATAAAAAATACTTATTTTTTAAGCCATTCAATTTTCATTCATAATAAATCACAAATATACATGACCTGTTTTACTTGTCAAAGCACTGTTTAATAATTACTTCATAAATAGAAACACTTCATTAAAGAAATCCAAAAAGTTAACTTCTTGTCACAGTTAATTAACTATGCTTTTATAATTTTATTTTAATTAATTAAAAAAATTATAAGATGCCAACTTTTTGCATAGCATTTACCTTAAAGTTTTATAATTATCTTTGATGTTTACGAAAACTGCCATTTAACATTTTGTCTTTCAGATGAATTGTTAAAAATAAGGCCTTCTATATGCATTTCAACCATTACACTTAAGGTGATATATAAGTGTATTTGGAACTAATATTTGCATTAATGAAATTGGTGCATTCTTACTGTTTCTAATTTTGGAATTTTTTTCTGATAAGCTTACAATCAAGCTTAAAAAAACTTTGCAGAAACCCTTTCATTTATTTTCTTTCAAAAATAATTGAAAGTTAAAATAAATGAAATTCAACAAACTTTCTTCTACGTTTTAAATTTCTTTAATTCTGTTTATGAGAAAGGGTTCAATGATTATTATTTTGAAAAATAAATAATAATTGATATATAGAGTAACTAGAACCTGCTCAATCAAATTTAGTATCCTAAATTTATATTTCTCTACAAACAAGCCAGGTGATTTTTCACAGTGATAATGATATATCTAAGGGGGTTTTAATGTCACCTTACCACTATCTAACCATCAAGCATATTTATAACATGATAATATACCATTAACATTCTGTTTCACACTGTTCTCTAATGAAATATAAGAATAATGTAAACAAAAACAAACAGCATACACATTATGAAGTGAAGAAACATAAACAGAAAGAAAGTTCTGTGTACTGACTACTATTTAATTTACATGAACAAATAAACTTGTACTCTACATTAAACCATTCAGGACCAGCCGATCCAACGATTCCATTCTTGCCAGCTCCATTGTCACTTACACATGAAGAGCTCCGATCAATCTCTTCAGACCAGCGTCACATATGCATAACTTGAAAACGGAGTCATTCCTTTTTTTTTTATTTTTAAATGCCAGTAGATGGTGCTAAACGGTAACGGTTTTCATCATGTCGCTTTTGACCTTCATGTACGAGCATCAATTTCTGTTCTGTGTTTCTGGTTTTTATAGATTTGGTGTAAACAAACTGGGAATCACAGCTCTCTAAGTTAAAGGGACACCCGCGTGTTTGTTTATTTCATTAAAGATTTCCTCTTTCCTCCCCTCATTTTTATTCTTTGCATTTTTTGTTATTAGAAAATGGGGAAGTGCATCCAGCTCAATGTTTTCATTCATTTGTTTTGTTTCGTTTTGTTTTGTTTGTTTGTTTCTTGTTGTTGTTTTCTGTTAGAAAAATGCATCTAGCTGACTTTAGCGGGTGTAACATCATCAAACTTCTGTGATGGAATAACTCAGACAAGTTGTCCTTTTTTATATTTATTTTGAAAGCTAACACATACTTTTTGATTGATTAAAAAGTAACTTAACTGCATTATTACAGAAGGGGAAAGACATCAACTTTCCCTATCATAATGCATCTTATTTGCTCAGCAAAAAAAAAAATGTCATTGTCCTGTGTATCAATCCACACACTACAGAATTATTAAATTGGAATTCAACCCACAGATAATTATTTCTTAATTTTCTTTTACATTTCGTATTTGTAATTATGTTTTTATGTGTACAGTATTCATTTTCATACGATAGTTATAATTTTAGTATTTCGCATCTTTCATTTATTTCTATTAATGTGATATCCTTTATATTAATATGTATTGAGAATTAGTATATTAAAAACATAACTTCAAAAACTGAGGTCATTACATTAAAATTCTGATTTTGTATGAATTTTTTTGTAAAAGTAGACTTAACTGCTGAAAATGTGTGGGCCAGTGGTGATGTTCCATTTCTTGGGGAAGCTTGCATAAAACATTCAAAACCTATATCTGGTAATTAAATCAGCCAGTGACAGGCAAAAAGTAATAGACATTTTCATACATTAGTTGTGGAAGAACCTGAATATTTTCATCTTTATAAGAAGAAATTAGCACATTTTTATTGTAATATTGAACAGGATTAATTTTCTTAAAATTACATACTTGCCAACCTATGACACTCAAAAATCAGGAGACTTTTAAGAAATCAGGAGATTTTTCACAATGTTAAAAAGACTTTTTAATGATAAAATATATTTTTTAATAACAATTACTTAAATATTTACTAATTCTTAAATGCAAGCAACACAAAATACCTTACACATAAAAACATTTTTATACTTTGCATCGTTTAAGGAAAAAAAAAAGACACTTTAAATCTTTTTCGTTCAATTTATGAACATGGCAGATTTTTGCTTTTGTAAAAAGAAACTCATATTTTTGTTCATAGCAATTGCCACGTAGGCCTGCTTTCGCTAAAAAGTTTTTCTATGCGTCATCACATATTAGTTATGCAGCTGCTGGAATTGTTTTAATTTTTTCCTTCTTTTTAGGACACCTTTCAAGATAATAATAAAAATCAACAATGTGTTTGCCCACACTTACTGGTAAAAAAGTTGCTCTTTTTTTAGCTGCTAAATTTAAGAGGAGACAGATGCATCTATAATTCTGCAAATTGAAGCTTCCTTTTTCAAGATGCCTGCAACACCAGTCTTCAAACCTACCATTATTGGTGCATTATCAGCACCAAGTGCTAAAGCAATTATCCAGAAGAATTGTATTTTCTTTTAAAGTTTTAATAATTAGCTGTGCTATATTAAAGCCTATGTGGAATGTCCTTC